TCCCTGACTGTAAGCTCTAAAATATGTTTTGTCCTTTCTCACTAAAGAGTTCTATATTATAGTCAAACTATATAATGTACTAAGAGTATCACATCTTTGTGCCATAGAAGACATTTTATTCTACTAAATATAAAATATGGTTAAAAAGTTCAACATAAATTGGTTTGCTCCTTTTATCCAAATTATAAATATTAATCTGCCTAGCTTAAATTTGTTGCACGTGGATGCAACACACATGAACTTGACAAAGATGATGGTCATAATGTTGTAGTTTGTATTATATTTAATAATATTATTTCAATATAAGATGGTATAATTTCTTTCAGGGATTGGGAGAAGGAACAACTCCAGAGAGCTCTGATTCAGAGTCCGATGATGTAAGTGATATGACAATTGGCACTCAGCTTGGTTCCTCACCCAAAATGGAAACAGTAGTTTGATATTTATATAAAGAATGTGTTTCATGAAAAATTTAATTTCATGTACCAGAAAATTAAATCTCATAACTCCATTTCATGTGGTAATTAATTCAATCTCGTGGATTCCATTTGTGCTACATGTAATCTCTAGAGATGGAATCATACTTTAGAGATATGAATGGATATTACCAGAGCAGCTGTTATTTTTTGAAAATGTAGATTGGTATTATCCATTTCATTATCTACATTTGATTCATTTGCACATCATATAAATAAATTTATCGCTTATTAATTTAGCTTGTATGGATTATATTGATTTCGTTATGAAATAGGAAGCCACTGAAACCTTCTGAGACTATTACCAAAGTAATTTCACCAACAGATACATTCTTGCATGCTTTTATTATTAAAAAACTACATTCCATTATTTATTTCTATGGTCATTAAATAGTCTCAGCCAGTGGATAAGATCTCACATAGGTTGTGAAAGGGAAGCATCCTAGTAAAGTTTCCATGAGTACATAAAAGAATGTTTGCAAGTGCTTTTGTGTTAAGTATCTTCAGTGTTCTGTTTTCTCAGGTATAGTAATAATGAGCTATTGTGAACCTTTTGCGCTCATTAGTTATTTTTCCATTAACTTTTCAACAAATTTTGAATATTTCTATTGAATATTCATTATTCAAATCTATATTGGCATGGTTATTTAAAATATATCAGTGATAGCAGTAAAATGAGCCAATTTATTTATGTAATAATAAAATGATAAAATATATTCAACTTTTATTAAATTGGTATGAAATTTTTAAAATACGATTGATTATTTGCAAAAAATTCGACGATCTCTGCGTATTTTGACCATAATATCAAAGAAGAATTACCCCTGTTATTTTTGGAATTAATTATTTTTTTAAGAAAATTTGTCATACATTGTGGTAAATTTATTTTTATGAGTTAGTAAAACATTGCTTGTTTTGACAAATATAAATCAACAAGTTTAATCAATTTTTAATCAGGGCTAGTTGTTCAAGTTGTAAAACAACTGCCTCTTCCAAAAAAGTAATTTTTGTAATTGTAAGACATTAATAATTGAAGGGGAAAATTGTATTCTATTGAGGTAGAGGTGGATCCTGATACAATTTTGTGAACTGTAGGTTGTAGACAAGTAGAGAGTTTGTGGTTAATGGATTCATTAGTCTTTTATTTCTCATCACCACTTGGTCTGAAACAATGAAATAATATTTTGTTAAAAGTAATAAATAATTTGCAATTTAATTTGCTGCATTGAAAAATTGAACAGTATAATATTGGTGTCTATTACTGCATTCCCTTTGGTGTGTTTGTGATTGCTTGCAATTGCAAATTAATTACCACAAAGATTTTGCTGAAGGTTTGCATAAAACATAAGAAATCTAAGTTAATTTTTTCTAGGCCCAATTATTGTTTTAACTTCAAATTACACATTTTTGTTTGTTATGTAAATCCATTAAACTGATGCTAAGGCTGATATTTTCTCTACTGGTGTTTAAAATGAAATAGAGAATAAGAAAAGAGATAGAAATGCCCACTATGTAAAGTAATGTATTGAGCACTAGTGTGGCTGAGAATAACTGATAATGCAATTAAGAAAATTTGTCACAATCACCATGTTAATTCTGGCTCATTGTACAGATCTTGAAAATGAATGTTCTGAACAAAGAATTAGATCATTGTCCTTAAAAATTACAACTACTGTTTCTTTTCTATTTTGTCTTCTAATTTTGTTTATGTGTTCCAACAATTGACTAATTTTCTGGGGTAATGTTTAATCATCAATAAGATTTTCTTCAAGCTTTATTTAATTTCTTCCCCATGAAAATTTGTTTTCATTAACATTTCAAAGACAAGTTTCTTTTCTTAATAATATTGTATTGAATGAATAGGATTAATTTTTTAGTGTAAGGTGTAATGGTGAGTTTTATAAGTGTAAAGTGCTCCAATTTTACTGCTATCATTGGAGATATTAACATATTTATTGAAACAGAATTTTTAACATTGCCTATTCTGAAACATGTACCATATTCATGATGAAATATCTGGGTCTCCAGGGCCTGCTTTCCCTTGCAACTTTTAAATGTATCTTATTTCTTGAATTGATTGTATAAAACTAGTTGGTAATACTACGAAAGACTGCCTGAAGGCAACTAAACACTGTCATCTATCATTAAATGTTATTTTTGTCCCTATTGACAGTATACATCATGTTTTAAAAGTTAGTCTTTACAAGCTCTGCAAGTGTTACGTTTTAAGACCTGTAGGGAGTGCTGGTATTGATATTATTAACTGATATATAATTCTTGATCAATTTCCTCTGACACTAATTTTTAGGAAAAATTAAATAAAGTAATCATAATTGTATCAATCATACTATTAAAATCATTTTTAAAACAAAAAATTATGCAATATTCTTCCAATAACTTAGACAAATATTTTTAAAATTTTTCATAGCTTAAGCAAACCTATAATGATTTATAAGATTTTGTCTTTAATTTATCATTACTTGCAAATTATTTTAAAATTTTCCCTGTATTGCGTACTTAATTTTTTCAATTTTGAACAAAATGGCAAGGTGGCAAAATAAACAAGGGCCTCTCTTAAGCACCTTGTACATTATCAGATTAATTAAATCTTAGGAGTTTTTTATATCTCTAGGAACCCTTGTTGAATATACTAGAGCGCAAAAGGTAGAAGTTAAAAATATGAATAATGCATGGATCTTGATTATTACAAAATATTAACAATGTTAAGACTGAATCTCAGGGACAGAAGCTTGCAGTTTAAAAGGTGCTATTTTTCTGTCCAGATTCTTCCTGTATATTTTTTAATAGTTATTTATGGTGAAGAAATATCCAATTGTAAAAGATGGCTTCCATGGTTGAGGTTAAAGTTTTCTTGGCTGTTAGGAAGACTGCATTCAGTTTTAGACATCAAACTCTGAAAACTAAAAAACACCGAAAGATGGTTAAAATTTTGGCAGTACTGCCTTGTAAAGTGTGTTTCCTCAACAGCTAAAAATAGAGCAAATTGTTCACAAGCCATGAATTCACTCTAGTACTGTATTTATGAAACTATTGGATTGCTATTGCTGGTAGTTGAGTAAACTCTGATGTGTACAAAATTGTCTAATAAATTTACAAAGAACTGTTCTGTACAATGTTCTGTTGATTTACAAATTTCACATTTTTCTTATACTGAAGAAATAGTGTTCTTAACAAAAGTTCTGTGAGCTTCTGTCACCTGGCATTTATCATTAGCATAAGTTTAGTTCCCATGTAATATAGAATCGCATGAACTTTTAGTCTCATCACACCCATTATGTCATAGTCAGATAACTGGTTCAGTACTTTCGTTTTTGCCTTATGAATAGCAGTTCTGAAATAGTTAAAATGCCATGTTTTGAAAAGTGGCTTACCAATCAATGGTGTGGTGGTAGTAAATAAAATGTTGTGGTTATTTAAATCTGGCTCTTGGAAAAAAGTTTTTACTGGACTAAATTGCTGATTTCACTTACAGTTTGGCTACCTCAAATTTAGTAGTATTACATTCATTACTGTGGAGTAATTAGTAATACTATTATCAAAATTTGTAATTGAAAATCAGTAGGAGGGTTAAGTAACTTAAGTTCTATTTATGCACTTACATGATATTATGAGAGTCTTGTGTATACCTTTTACTCATTCAAAGGTTGTCCATGACAGTGTGAGAAATGTGCAATTTTTTAATATATTTTTGTAATTTGCATTTATTTATTCTTTTTTATAGTTGTGAAAGTTCTGCAATATAGTGCCTCAGAATTATGATTAGTATTGTTATATGTTGTAAGTTTCAACTACAATTTTGATTTTCAAAGGTTGTGCCTTAGGTGAAACTTGGAATTTGTTACTTCAAATGTAGTAAATTAAAATTAAGTACAAACAGTGTTGTTCATTTTGAGGAATTCCACCTTAAAGTTAATGATAGAAGTGAAATGTGCATTGTGGTTTACATGATATTTTATTTCAATCAGTGTTTCATATTCATTAAATGTTTCAGTTAATGGTACAGTATTAAAATAAACTAACACAGGACAGTATCTGTTTCCTGAAGTTATGGATTTTCTGTGTGGTGATCCAATAATGTTACCTGGATGTAAATATAATTTTATTTGAATTGTCTCATGTTCATTTTTGTTTGGCCTGATGGTGAGAGGGTCAAATTTCCTTGCAGAGAATACTCAATGTGGTTGTGCTGTGAATGTATTTTACTTGATAGTTAATTGCTCATTTCATAATTTACTGGGAGTACTTATGTTTTTATTGTCCATTGAACTTCATGGCATGTTCATGGAGGTAAAGTGCTTATAGACCTACTGCAAATTATTTTTGACAAGAATTCCAGTAGATGCCAATAGTATTGACAAGTTGACTAATGTTTTGTATTTATCTCTTGACAATAGTATTTTCATAGGAAGAAACTAAAATGTAGTAAAAGGTTTACTGAATTCAAAGGAAATTAAGAAAATGGAAAGAATTTGTAATAATTCTCATTGAAAAGGTTTATTTTTAGCTTAGTCAGTGCATTTGAAGCTTAACAGCAGCATCAGAATTCATGACGCATGGTAAATTAGTGTGATTTTGAAATGCATTTATTATTCAATAAGAAATTGGAATGTATTTAAATGTTCAATTTTAATGATCTTTTGGGGGCTTTAAATATTGTTTGTGCTAATAATGCATTATCATGGACATAGAAAAGAGTTTTATAAACATAATTGTATTGAAAAATAGTATTTCAACTGCAACAGTTGCATTTATTGTATTATTTTTCAACTTTGTGGTTTGAAAGAAATGTTTACACATAAATATATGTCACAGTAATGTAACTTGAAGATGATTAAATTATTTTCATTTCCGCATCAAGGCCCATACACTAGAAACACTGAATTCACTGTTGGCTTAGAGTGCTGTAACCTAAACTCTTTCGTTGGTGTCTGTATTCATGGAAAAGCAGGTTATCCAAATTCAAAGATCTGTGGCACTCCTCTGCCTGATGATAATTTCAATCCAGAATTATAATTATAATTTGACCCTTTAGACAGAGGTGATGAGCCTGAGCATGTTCCAACAATCTCTGCCATCAGGACTAACATTATTATATTTTACCAAATTTTTTGTACTGAAAAGTTTGATTTATTAATATTTATAACATTTTAAACCCTCTGTTATATATGTTTGTATAATATGTATTAACATGGTATATTATTATCAAACATAAAGGACAATGAAAGAAAAAAGATTCTGTGTGTGAGGGGAAAAAACTTCTGATCACATTAGATTTCTCCCAATGTAATTGTTGGACATGTAAAAGGAAATGATGTACAAAGACTGATCCAACTAGAGTTAAAGGTCTTGGCACCTATTCTGGGTCTCACAATTTCATATGTGATACTAGGTTTTCTCTATTAAAGTAATTAATTTTCCACTTCATATACATACAGATTTTTGTTGTTTAAAAATTGTTTGGTCCTAAAATTCTGTTCTGAAAAACTACATTGTTCTCATCAGAAACAATTTGAGTGCACTCATTTATTTATAGTTATAATCCCATTTTCTATCACAAGATTTTTCTGTCTGACTAGAAAATTGAAATTTTGTCTATGAAGACATATTTATTGAGTTCTCACAAAAGAGTTAATTCTACAGGAAATATGTATGAAACCTCTTGGATAATATGGACACTTTATTTTCTGTGAATGAAGTTATATTTTAGAAAGTATTGCCGTTTAGCCTTGTATAGTGAACTTCACAATTAGTGTATAAACATAAACCTAAGTATGTAGATCACAAAGAAAATATAATGGAAGTGTCCATATTGATTCTCTGATATTATTTAGGTTCATTCTAAAAGTTAAAATGATTCACCTATTTCATAAGAGTATGTGAGAGAATGTACATCAAAACATCAATTATTATATTTTGTTATAATTTTGGGTGACGTATTATTAAGCCTTCATATGACTGTAACATATGCAGTGCATTAAATCAGCTTTCATTTTTTTCGACTTTAAATAATTATTAAAAAGAACAAGGAAAAAATCTTTTTGTTGATTACCCATTTCCTTACATTCCAAATAAGAACGTGTTGTGATTTAATTGATGCAATAGTAAACTTTAATAGTTCTCGTAAATTTATCTGTATTTAATAATTCTGTATAAGAATTTTGAAAATTGTAAAATTAAAAAAAATATTGTATTGATAAAATTTTCTTATAAAAAATTATCTGAAAATGAACCCCAGAGAAAGAGGAAGTCATAGTATTCAGAGAGGAGGGAAGGAAATGAGAGGAAGAAAGAATGGGTGGGGGTGTTGTAAGACATGAGATTTTACAGATGAAAACTAAGTGTTCTCTCACTCTCTCATTTCCTTGTTAACCCTCTATTTGTCAAATTATGGTTAGTCTTCCAGGAAATTTTGAAAAAGTAAGCTCATTTCTAATAAAAAACTGTATTAGCAACTGAGCTGGATCTGTCATATGAAAGATTAAGAAAATCAATGGACTCCTAATAGAAACTTCAAATGACAATCCAAGACAAAAAGTTGCTAGAGTTGAGAAAAACAGGCATCAATATCAAAGTACGTACTCCTTGGTATGCTGAATATATAGGTACATAGGGTACAAACGTGTGGTAGTGTGCGGAGACTTAGTAAACTGCAGTGAAGAGGAAATAGTTCAAGAACTAGCTTCTCAAGGAGTCATGGCATGTCGTAAGCTAACAATGAGGTGGGGCGGGCACATAATTCCTTCAGCATCCCATATCCTAACGTTCAACAATAGCAAGTTGCCACAGAAGATAAAGCTGGTATCCATCATCTCAACATTCTATGAATATTTGTTCCTCGCCCAATGCTGCGCTTTCAAAGGTTGCGTTTTGGTCACAGCATGTAGATGTGCGAGAATCAAAGCGTGTCAATGTGGAGAGCCTTTTCATAGTAATAATCCATTTGTAGATCCCATTGGATGTATCAGTTGCAGTGGAGAGCATTCATCAAGGTCAAGGAACTGCCCAATTTATAAGCAGGAAGCAGCGATACAAGAAGTAAACGCCAAACAAAAAATCAGCTATCCTGATGCAAAGACGCTTGTGTGCCCTGTAAATGGGAAAGTCACACACGTGGAAGCGGTTACTAAAAGCACACCTTTGCCTTCATTAATAGCGTAAGAACTAATGCCTGCATTAAGTCGTTGCATACATATAGAAAAATATATTAATGTAATTTACTACAACTAAATCAACACAGAAAAATTAAAGTGAAATAGTAATTTTAAAAGCAATCTTCAACTCCCCGTATAATGAGGCGGAAAGAAATCCAATGGCGGCTCTCGCAGTCACATCCAGTAAAGACGAATCGGCAAAGAACTACTGATGTCGATCCCCTCGTCCTCCCAAATACTCAAGGAGGACCTCTTCAAACAAAAAACGAAAATATCCACCCCCAATGATCAGGACACGACCACTGGTTCAGAGACAAGCTCGATGGAAAGTATGGAAAATCACAGCGATAACAACTTCATCAATCCAAGCAAAATGCCGCGCAAGAAAATAGGATGGCCAAAAGGAAAATCAAGAAAATAGGCAGAATCCACCATCTCATAGCAGAAGAACTCAAATCCAACTATGGAAAATATTATTCAATGAAACATAAACGGCTGTATTTCACATTATTGAGAGCTGAAATTGTTACTGGCCAATCACACACCAATGTGCACCTGCCTGCAAGAAATTTATTTTCAACCAGAAGACCGTTTCAATTTAAGAGGTTATAAGACCTTCCGCTGTGACGTAGATCCTGATAAACGAGCTAGAGGTGGTGGTGCCCTATTGATCAGGAACATACATAATGTTAGTCGTCTGCATCTCTATACCCCTCTACAAACGGTAGCCGTAACATTATACCAACCGCAGAAGATGACGTTAGTATGCTGCATATACCTGACGCCTCGTGGAAAAATGATCTACTGTCGTGCAAGTTTTCTTGATACACGGGTTCCCTACCTCATGCCCAGTACTAAATAGCACGGCCCGTTGAAATTCGGCAGCTCTACACATGCGGCATTCGGCGATTCCCGAGCAACCGCTCGCCGAATCCAGAGTAGTGTGGACAGGTTGCTTGCAATTCGACGAGCGCCGAACATTCGGTATTCGCCCTACTGCGTGTCGGTCTTTAGGGCTCCTTCCCACGTCGCACGGCGGTGCGCTTCAGAGCAGCGCGGCGCGTAGCAGAGCATTGGTTTGAATGGAGGCCTTCCCACGTGCAGCGGGTGGCCGCTGCTGCGGCAGCCGACGCCGAACTCCCGCCTCGCGAAGCGGAGGAGGGCATACGCGCCACAGCTAGCAGTACACAGCTTTAAATGGGAGCCTTCCCACTGGTCGGCGAAACATACCCCTGCAGACCCCACCCCCTTCCACGGCGGGCGGCGATGCGGTCGTGGCTGCGGCGGTGTCGGCGTTAGAAGGGCTCTGCTGCTTGAAGGAAGCGCGGCGCCGTGGGAAGGCGCCCTTAGGACACATCCAAGGAAGCGAACAACACATCAGCTGTTCAGGATTGGGCGAGTAGTAGTTCTCTGCTGGGTGAATGCCGAATGTGTAGAGCCGCCTTTTTACGTCCGACTCAGAACGGCACGTGTCACTTTACAATGCTACCATCTCCCACCTCGTACCTTCAAAACAATCAGTATTTTTCGTGCCGGTGTGTGAATTAGTGGTTTGCTTATATATTGTTCCCATAATTTACGACGTTTTTGGCCTTTGTTTTGGTTTAACGACTACGGTTTACTGTTATTTGATTGACTTATTTATTGTTTCTCCCTTTTATACGACTTTAGCTTATTCATCTGGTAGGACTCTTCATTTGGACTTTTGAACACGGTTATCTTCACAACTTTACATCAAGGTTAACCATGGCAGAGTCAGTCCCGGGTTCTCTCGGGAAACTCCGCGAACGCCACCATCTCACCGTATCCACACTCTTCACAGTGGGGAGAGAAAGATCATTTCTAACGTGGTGAGATGTTGTCAAAGAGAGAAAGGAAACAAGACGCTCCTAGCCCCTCTTAACCACGCCTTAAAGAGGGCGATCATTTACACGGGTGCAAGCATGGCATCCGTGAATAAAATAAAAAGGTTAAGTTTTTGCACCCAGATCAGTCTTCTGAAACTCTAGGCAAAAGAGATTCTACTGTCGTTTTTATTAAATGAATACATAATACTTCTTATTTGGAAATATTGTTTTTAAAAATTTGTTTTATTTTTTCGCGAAGGGTAAGTGCAGTAACTTTTCTTATTTGTTGTCAGTACCAGAACACGTGGGAAAATCCTGTTGGACGATTTCGACAAAAGAGTAATTAGTGACACTATTCATGATTTTTTACACTGTCCGGAAGGTAGTTCCTATAATAACGAAACTTCTAACAATGTTAAAACAAAAAAAAACTAACAAAAAATCAACTGAAATTAGAGTCCTTTATCACTTCCAACCATTTTGAGATCTATGGGATTCGTTTGGAAGAAAGTACAGAACAAACGCAAATTACTGTTAGAATGATGTGATATTGTAGATTGGAGATCTCGATACCTGGTAAGAATGAAGAGAGGAAGAAGATAATTTTTTTAAATGAAGATGAATCGGGATAACAATAATATGACGACAGGAAAGTGCTGGCAAAAGGAGAATGGCATTTTAGGAATTACTTTAGAATGACTAAGAGGGCAGTTTTGCAAAACGACTCATTATTGTTAATGCATGTTCTCGAAATGGTTTTGTTTCAGATGCTAACCTAATAATAGAAGCGAACACATTAAACGGGGATTACCATGAACAAATGAACTCCATCAATTTTGAGAACTGGATTAATAGGCCCTACGCAAATACACCCAAATGTACCACCCGCACCCGTCAAAATCATGAATAATTCCCCTTAGGCAAGCTGAAAGAGTCCCGTCAAGATACGACACCAAACTGACAATGATAGAGTAGTTAAGGAAGAGGGGAATTAATTGTGATCACAATCAACGTAAAAGTGATTTGTTCGACCTAATGCAAGCTAATAAACCGAGCGAAAAGATTTACGTAATAGACAAAATGGCATCTAAAAGGGGTCATACTGTTATTCGTCTTACATCTTACAATACTCAACCCCATAGAGTTAGCATGCGCATATTAAAAGTGTGTTTAGGGAACATAATGTCACTGGAGACATGTCAACTCGGCACCTCCGTGAACTCACACACTACGCATTCTCAACTGTCACATCTGCAGACTGGAAAGGTGAACACATCCGAATTTGCGAAAACAAATATTGGCAAAACGATGGAATTTTAGAAATAGCCATCGACGACATTATAGTTAATATTGCTGGGGAAAGTGAACGTGACAGCTATTCCGATGACTAGGAGTAATTGCAACCATTCATGTAAGTTCATCCTACGCTTTGGCGCGCTATGTTCATATAAACAGTTGGTACGCCCTTTTAAGCTGTGATGTAACCAGAGCCGTCCTCTCCCCGTAACCACCGCTGCGGAATATCAAGAAAACTTGCGCGATTAGTACAAGACCTGACCGATCAACCGTTTCTTCTTATTCTATGCGACTTCAATGCCCTCAGCACCACTTGGGGCTGATCTAGAACAAATGACGTCAGTCGAAGAATCGATGACCTACTACTTAACAGTGAATACGTACTCTTAAACATAGGAGCAAGTACTCACTTTAACGTCAGAGCGATCACTCCCCTCTGACAATATCATCAAACATTCCAAAGAACGCCGTATATTAAACGAAACGTTGGTGTACCGATAATGCTGACTGGTATGTACCGATAATGCTTCACCGGACATATATACCACAAGTGTCTGTGGAAAGACAGAGGAAGACGCAACAGACATCACTAACACTGCAATTCACCAACATTTCTACTTCTAGAAAATGCATTCCACAAACTAGGGGCCACAATCCAGAAGTCCAGTACCATGGTGAAATACGGACACCAAAGAAGCAAGTAAGGGAGAAAAGAAGAGCCTTCAATAGATAGACCAACGGAAGACAATCGCATTGCTTTTAAGTGTCTGCGTGCACTTGCTCACAGAAAAATACTAATAGCAAAACGATACAGCTAGGAGAAGAAAGTGAAAACC